GAGAAGAATGCTGGTGCAATTTTGATTGGGATTGCATTGAATGTGTAGATAGCTTTGGGTAGCATTCACATTTCAACAATATTTATTCTTCCAACCCATGAGCACGGAATGTTTTTCCATTCCTTTATATCTTCTTCAATTTCCTTCATAAGTTTTCTATAGTTTTCAGCATACAGATCTTGTACATCTTTGGTTAGATTTATTCCTAGGTATTTTATGCTTCTTGGTGCAATTGTGAATGGGATCAGTTTCTTTATTTGTCTTTCTGTTGCTTCACTATTAGTGTATAAGAATGCAACTGATTTCTGTACATTGATTTTGTATCCTGCAACTCTGCTGAATTTATGTATCAGTTCTAGCAGATTTTTCGTGGAGTCTATCAGATTTTCCATGTGTAATATCATGTCATTTGCAAAAAGTGAAAGCTTGACTTCATCTTTGCCAATTTTGATACCTTTGATTTCCTTTTGTTGTCTGATTGCTGATGCTAGAACTTCCAACACTATGTTAAACAACAGCAGTGAGAGTGGACATCCCTGTCATGTTCCTGATCTCAGGGGGAAAGCTGTCAGTTTTTCCCCATTGAGGATGATGTTAGCTGTGGGCTTTTCATAAATGGCTTTTATGATGTTTAAGTATGTTCCTTCTACCCCAACTTTCTCGAGGGTTTTTATTAAGAAAGGATGCTGAATTTTGTCAAATGCTTTTTCTGCATCAATTGATAGGATCATATGGTTCTTATCTTTTCTTTTATTAATATGACGTATCACATTGATTGATTTGTGAATGTTGAACCAGCCCTGCAGCCCAGGAATGAATCCCACTTGATCATGGTGAATAATTCTTTTTATGTGCTGTTGAATTCGATTTGCTAGTATCTTGTTGAGAATTTTTGCATCCATATTCATCAGGGATATTGGCCTGTAGTTCTCTTTTTTTTACTGGCTCTCTGGTTATCATAATACATTTAAGTATTTCTTTACTTTTAGAATTTTAGAGTTTTAAAAATGCTTAACAGTATTGTAAAGAACATTCTGCTAACTGTATATGTACACAAATCCAAAATTATTAACTTGGAAAAAATACATTTCTAAAAGTAGAGTTGTTATATTGCCCTCCATAAAAATTCTACCTAATTATAGTCAGCATATGTAAGAATGTTCATTTTGTTATTCCCTTAGTTTGGGTGGAATTTCAATCATTCTAGGGCCTTATTCTGTGGTCCCTAGACCAGCAATATCGTCATTACCTGGGAGTGTCTATTAGAATTGCAGAATCTCAGACCACCCCCCCCCTCCTGCCCCCAGACCTACTGGATCATAATCTGCATTTGAACAAACTCCCAGGTAAGACATAGGCACATAAAACTCTGAGAGGCAGCATTCTAATATAATTTATACAGGAGTCACAAATTGAATTGGTCTTAAATCCGGCAAGGTAAATCGGGAGCCTATACTGGCATTTATCTTAATAAAAGGTAAAAGTGACAAATAAGTAAAGGTGATTGTGAAAAAAGGGCTTAATGTTATCCTATATATATGTATAAGACTTATATATATACACACACACATACACACACACATATCGTATATATATGTACGGTGTATCCTAAGCAAACCATTTTGGGGGACAGGACAATGCAGATCAGAACAGAGTACTAACACAGTTCCCCCAAAACACAAGAAACAGTGTTATTATCTCTCCAGCCAATTCCAAACACCCTATGTACTAGCCGATTATTTGTCTTGTGGTCTAAGGAAAACCTGAATCAGAACCACTTGCAGAACGTGTTAGAATGCATACTCCCAAACACCTCCCAGAGAATGTTTTAGTAGGGTCTGATATTATGCCCAAGTATTAGCATTTTAATAAGCACAACAAGTGATTCTGATGCCCTGGAGTTCAACAACTACTATCCCATGACACTTCGCCGAACACATCTGGAATGTATTGTTTGAGTAACTGTTTTATTTGCTTCAAAACAATAGACACATTTTTATAAAATTCATTTTGTTGTTGTTGTTGGTTAGTGAAATGAGTAAGTCTAGGAATTCTAATTACTTTTTTAGCCCTCTCTAGTTCTAACAAAGTGACTCTGAGTTAGTGAGGAGGGAGAGAAATAATTCTGATGAACTCTATTTCACCTTTTCATTCCCTATCCTGAGACTGCCTTCTTGAACCAATTCATATTCTTTCCAGATGATACCCCAACACTTTTTCTTTTCTGACAACATATTTTTGATGAAATAAATTCATATCATAGAAAAAGAACATTCCATAGTACATTAATTATGAAGTTAAAATATATTTTTCTTATATAAATATATGTTAAATATATTTTAAAAATCACATAGAAACCATTCAGTTTTTTAAATACAAATAACTTTTTTTTTGCAGGAGGAACAAAGAAAAAAGGAAACAGCATGTATAAAAGGTAATTTTTCTCAACAATTTATTAAAAGAAATCATAACCAACTTATAACAATTCACATCTTAAAGAATCAAGAAGCTGACCTAAATGATACCTAAATATTGTTTTTAAAACCATGGAAATTCAAGGGAAATGTTAATGGATTAGTATGTGAGCAGGCATATATTTCTTAGAAAATGAAACTTGCAATGTCATATCTTAAATTAAAATGTGTAATTTAAATTTTTGTTCCTTATTTATATCTAAAGGTATCATAGCTAGTGTCATATAGTAATCCTGGAGGATCAAAAGACATGAGTGTTTTATAATCCTTTAGATTATGTGTATTGCATAGTCCCTAGTACCTCAAAATGTTATCCTCCTATGTAATTTAAGAAATGTTGGAAATAAGGGTACCTGGGTGGATCAGTCAGTTAAGTGTCCAACTCTTGGTTTCAGCTCAAGTCTTGATCTCAGGGTGGTGAGTTCAAGCCCTGCCTTGGGCTCCACACTGAGCATGAAGCCTACTTTAAAAAAAAAAGGAAAATAAAAGAAAAGTTGGATATACAAAATGCAATAAAGTATCTAAAACAGCTTTAAAAATTAATGTTATAGGGGTGCCTGGGTGGCTCAGTCAGTTAAGCGCCCGACTTCTGCTTAGGTCATGATCTCATGGCTTGTGAGTTCCAGCCCTGCACCAGGCTCTGTGCAGGCAGCTCAGAGCCTGGAGACTGCCTCAGATTCTGTGTCCCTCTCTCTCTCTGCCTCACCCCCGCTCACACACTGTCTCTCTCAAAAATAAATAAACATTTAAAAAATTAAAAAAATAAATAATTAATGTTGTACATTAGTATCAAAAGCCAATATGTAAAAATATTATAACATATGCTTAGGATATTATATCATATGATATTTTCTAAAACTTAAATTTTAAAATACCAACTGTGCAGCATAAATAATGTAATGGGGGAAGCATTAGTCTTAGAGTACTAGAAGTCCAGATGAAGTCTAGATTTGTGGTGAGTCTTCAGTCTCTAAACATGTCTTTTCCTTTGTGAAGTGGTGCTAATAGTAACTACCTTGAAAAATTATTGATAAATGAGATATGTAAGTATATCAAATCGCTTTGCACATTGTAAGGCACTCTAGGAATGTTAGATGTTACTTTAATTGGTGTAAAACCAGCCCATAGGCCCTTCCCACTGTGGACCAAACATTTTGTAATCTTACAGAAGCATGTTTTTTTACTGTTTTATTTTTTAATGTTTATTTATTTTTGGAAGAGGCAGAGCATGAGCGGGGGAGGGGGAGAGAGAGAGGGAGACACAGAATCTGAAGAAGCAGACTCCAGACTCTGAGCTGTCAGGCAGAGCTGGATGTCGGGCATGAACTCACAGACCATGAGATCATGACCTGAGCCAAAGTCAGGCGCTTAACCAACTGAACCACCCAGGCACCCCCAGAAGCATGCATTTTTAAAATTTATTTTAAAAAATCAGGCCTTACTTAGCTATAAATACTGAAGAAACTATCTACATTTTCTGATTTAAGGGACATTCCAGAACTGAGCTTTCTAGCCTGTTTAGAATCTTCTCCTGTGAAAACAGGTTGATTTTATCTAGAATAGCCTTTTCTATTCTTGATTATCATGAAATTGTTAATTCCTAATAACATATTCAACATTGTACAGATGGTGATAGCAACTTAGAATTTCACTATTTCATCCTACTGTCCATTATAACCCTTAAAAGAGTCTGAATTTTAAAAAGAAACATTGTCTTTATAAGTAAGATTTGGCTCATGAATTATGTAATATTAATAGTAAGTCTAATTTTCTTTTACAGCAAATAAAGATCACTCTAAAGATGAATTCTGCCTTGCAACAAAAAAGGTCATTTGTGACCCTTCAGAGACTAGCTCGACAACACATCCCAGCAGTGCTACTTTAAGCTTATCGACACTACAATCTGATTCTCATTACAGCCAAAGTATAGACGCAGCCGATGACTGGTTTTCTGACGATACTCTAGCAAAAAAGAGCTCTCCAATGCCTTTTCTCAGAGAACCTCTAATGGAAAAAGTATTTTCATACCTGTCAACAATTTCATTAGAAGAATGTACTGAAAATGTACTGAATATGACACTTTATGATGATCAGAAAGATGACAGCATTAAGGAAATATTTTCACGAAGAAATGCAGAAGTTGAAATACAAAAATTTCAACATAATATTGAATGACTTTTTTCTTTTGAAACTTTGTGTACACTGAAATCATGGAAAGTTAAAACCAAATTACCAGCTTCTGAGTCTCTTAAAATGTCCATACTAATATTACTTTTCTTATTCCTTGCCATATAGTGGTCCTACTTCCCTTGCTGATTCTTATTTCTAGAAATAATTACAGGAAGAATTAGAGTGACATCATGAACATTGTATCTCATCAAAAGATATAACAAATAATACAAATGTATTTCAACATGCAGGAAAATAAGAAATCTTCAGCACAAATAGAGTTTTGAATAAAACACTCACAACATTCCCTTACACTTTTGACATTTTTAATTTTATTTCAATGTGGGTAGGGCTGGGCAGAATACTTTCATCAGCTTTTCTGAATTTTAAATGCATCAATCACCTACAATTCAACTTTTATTTTGTCACGATTTTGGTAAACAGTATACTCAATATCTGTTGCTCTTCTAGGGGAGCCTGGAACACTGTGAAGAATCCAGAATATAATTTTTCTTTGCCCTCTCCTATGTCTGCTTCTCAGAATGCTTTCCTAATCCTTACCCCACTGTGATGAAAATGTGGGCATCTATGTTCTTAAGCCTCTGATTCAAGCTAGATGAATCAGAGTTCCTCTCTAATCAGAGACCCTTGGTCAGAGTTCTGTGTTTGGTCCTGAGGGATTTCTGACACCCACTCTGTAATTAATCTTTTTTTTTTTTCCTCTTTATCCTAAATACTGTCCATGTACTCAGTCCCCTTTTTCTTTCTTTGGGGAAAAATTGCTAAATACAATATTAGCTTTTATGCTTAATTTACTCATACCGACACTTATGCATATCTTCCCAAGAGATAAATCATACCTATTACAATAAATGAAAATAAACTTGTCTCAGTTAAGATAGTGGCATTACCCAGGCTGTCCCATTACCCCTTTCTGTCCCAGGGGAAATAGTAAAAAGGATTAAAACACCTCTGTCTTCTAAAGCACCTTGTCATTTCTACAAGTTATCGGTTGTGAGAACATCTATCTAATATCTACCCCTACATCTAAATAAGCTATTTCAGCTCAGTGTCTGTAAGGAATAGCATATATATAAATTGTTCTCTGTCCCTTGGTGTCCTACCAACTTATATCTTACTGCCTATCCCAGAAAAGTCATCTCTAATTTTGGTGAGATGCTATAACTTTCCTATGAATTTGGGGTTGGAGATAAGAGATTCTAGCTTTGATCTCATTAGTCTTTGGAATAGAGGAAACAAACTGGGGAGCTGTGGGCTGCCATGTCCTACCTTGTGGTTTGGGAAGAAAAAAACAGTAAATCTGCTGTGAGAGAGCAGTGAAGCACTTGCAAAGTGAAAAGCAGACATGAGAGGTCAGGAGAATGTAATTCCTGGCTTTCTAACAGTCCTCCATTTCCTTGTTCCAGTCCTTCATGAAGCCTGCCCTTGGCTTGGTATGGCACACGTTATCCTAATAATAAATTAACCTATTTTCTTAAGCTAGCAAGATCTGACATTTATTAGTGTCCTGTTTTTAACTATTGTTCTGGGCTTTGGCAAAGTACCTTGTAATTTTATAATAAATTATTGTTTTTGCATAAAGCAGAAAGAGCTTTGTTTCTGTTACTATGACCAAAGCATCCTAACCAAATTCCTGTCATTATAAGTGAAAAATAACTATATGTATGCATATACAGCAATTGTTATATTATGATAGAATAGATTGAATTTTGTTTCTCAAAACCTAACACATTTACATGTTGATTAAAATGTTATTCTATATCATAGGTATATACATTTTTCTCTTTGAAAAGACTAATGAACAGTACATATGAAATGGTCTAAAATAATATTTTCAAGAATTGTGAAGATCTGAGATTTCACCATTCATGCCCTCTGACAAGTTAGCCTTCAATAATTTCATGTCTCATGGGTCAGTGACGGAGGACAGTTTATTATTCATAGCAATAGCAAGGGTGGCTTTTTTTTTTTTTAATTTTTTTTTTCAACGTTTATTTATTTTTGGGACAGAGAGAGACAGAGCATGAACGGGGGAGGGGCAGAGAGAGAGGGAGACACAGAATCGGAAACAGGCTCCAGGCTCTGAGCCATCAGCCCAGAGCCTGACGCAGGGCTCGAACTCCCGGACCGCGAGATCGTGACCTGGCTGAAGTCGGACGCTCAACCAACTGCGCCACCCAGGCGCCCCTAGCAAGGGTGGCTTTTAAAAGAGGCTGACATCCATGAAATGGATCATTTTGTCCACTTAATTATTAACATTTCTTCTGATATTGCTCTTTGGGGAGCAATTACTTGAGACTCATTTATATTCCTATTCTGTGTCCATTCAGAGAAACTTACTGACATCTATTTTTCTTAGACTCCTTATCACTAATTTTCCAATTGTACTCTTTACAAGTCCCCAACCATTCAGCCAAACCATTAAGTACCCACTTCCAGTAAATCAGTACAAATATATAACTCTGAAAATTTATCTTTAGAGGCTATACAACTAGGTCACTGCTCAGTTATGCCTGCTGAAATTTTCACCAAGGCCATACATAAGTGGTACTCTGGTATTCCAGCTGTGAACTTTGAGATGATGCTAACATATCATGCAGAACTGTTTGATAAATCAGGATTAAGTATCTTCTTCCTCAGTGAACTGATGATAAGGAACTCTACTTGATACAATAGGTTATATGGTGAGAGAGAGAAGACCAGGTAGCAGGTATAAGAGCCATGGGCATCTTAACCATCTCCTCATGCAATTCGCTCACATCTGCTCACATCCAGTTCAGAATCCGCTCACATCCAGTTTTATACGTCCTAATGCCATTTGTAATTGAGTGCAGATCTACATGCCTAACTTTATGTCTTAGCAAATCATAAAACACTAGTTCATGGTGAACAGATCAACTCAAAGGTAAATTGGTATCCATGGTCACATGTTAAGTCCCTACATCTAATAGTAAGCCAGAGGATACTTCCAAAAGAATAATTATTGGCAGGTGATAACATAGCTTTCTTTAGAATCCTACAGACTCTCATTAACCTAGAGTTGCCTGCTAAAGTCTCCATAGAGTATCTCTATTTGCTACAAACACTTCACATAGCATGAATCTACTGGGCCATAAACCCCAAGTGGCATAACAACTAACTTAGCCTCCTGGATCTGTCACAGAGATTTCTATTCTTCCACGCTCCACACTAGAACCTCTTTCATATTACTCAATAAGTAGGTCAGAGTAGCACATCCAAATGGAGTATATGTTACCTCCAATATTCAAAGGAGACCACTATGCATTGTGCCTCTTTCTTAGAGGTTGCAGGTATCAGATGCAGCAACTAGTCTTTCACCTTGGAAGGGATATCTGGACATGCTCCAGACCACTGGATGCTTAGTAATTTCACTGAGACAACAGGCCCTGGAATTTTGTGGAATTTATCTCCACCCTCTGGCATTCATATATTTTACCCAATTATCTAAGGTAGTTACTAATTCTTGCTCACCTTGTCAGTCAGCATGATATCATAAATGTCCTGTGCTGTCCATTTGTGTTGAATGAAGATTAAGGCCCATTTAGACTAGATTATGACAGAGTTAGGGAGATAATATAACTCTGCAGTAAAACAGTGAAGGTGTTGATGGGAATGTAAATTATTACAGCCATCATGGAAAATATTATGGAGTTTCCTTAAAAGATGAACAGAACTACCATACTGTCCAGCAATTCTACTTCTGGATATATATCTGAAGGAAACAGTATCTTCAGTATCTTGAAGAGGTATCTATACCCCTGTGTTCCTTGCAGCATTATTTACAATAGCTAAGATATGGGAACAACCTAAATATCCATCAATGAATGAGTGGATAAAGAAAATAATACACGCACACACACACACAATGGAATGTCATTCAGCCACAAAAAAGAAACCCTGCCATTTGTGACAACATGGATGAACCTGAAAGACATTATGCTAAGTGAGATAAGCCAAACAGAGAAAGACAAATACTATGTGGTATTATTTATATGTGAAATCTAAAAAAAAAAAATTGCATTTACTTGGGACATATTCCTCTGTCTCATTTTGTCTAACTCTTGTGTCTGTTTCTGTGTGTTAGGAAAGTCAGGTGCATCTCCTGCTGTTGAAAGTAATGGTCTTATGAAGAAGAGGTCCTGTAGCACCCTGCAGTGCAGGGTTCCCTGTTCACCATAACCTGGCTCTTCAGGGTGTTTTCTATGTGTGTTCCATGTGCCCTGCTGTTGAGTCTTGGCCACTTTTTCCTTCAGGCCATTCATCTGCAGAGGCTCTCTTTGCCGGTTGTGGGAAGTGTTTGGTGCCCAGCTGGGGAGGAGTGTGCCATTTTAACACAGTGCACTCAGGTCTGCTTTTGAAATGAGACTTTCTGCAGCCCATGGGATCAGGACAGTGTGGGCAGGGCACACAATTTTACAAAGGTGTTCCTTAGTCTTCCACAGGGCCCACCGACCTGGGAACCACAGCCTTAGCAAGGTTTTTTCCAATCTTCTGGGGGAGGTGACCTGTAGCACCTGAAACAAATGTGACTGGGAAGGGCAGTCCACCATAGCATGGAGGGGCAGGTGGGAGTTTGTTGTAAGCAAGTTAGGTAGTGAATGTTGGCATTTTGCTGGTCTCTGCAGGTGGCTGTGTGTTTATGCTGGGGGCTGGAGAAGGGATATGGTGCCTGTTCCTGAGGAAGTCCCTCTGGAGCCCTGCTCCTCAAGCTGAGCTCTGAGATGTGTCAATAACTCTCCCTTCCACGTACACCATGTGTTGTATCTGTTTCTATGTTGTATCTCCAAGGGCTATATGTCATACTATCTCTTTAAGAGCAGAGACTTGGTTTCCTACCACTCTCTGGGTTATCCTAGAGCCAAGCCCTCTGATTTTTAAAATTCCAGGCTTTAACACTCCCTGGTTGTAAGAGCTTATGGAATTAGACCCCTCTACTTTTCAAAACCAAATGCTTTGGGGGTCTG